TAACATTACAAAATAGTTGCTTCAGTAAACAATTACTGTGTACAAAATGTATTTCATTTGATATACATGACATATATACAACATATAAACCTACCAGGTGTGTGGGCCTAGGTTTATTTCACACCTGGGGATGCTGCTGTATCTGTATTAAATGTTTGCCTGTAGAGAAAATAACAATAATATATACAGACATGCTAATGATGAACATATACAAAAACATTCTCAGCACTGATACAGTAATCAAACACAAATTTGGCTGTAGCTGAGCAAGATATAAAACAATGCAAAATAAGACCTCATTCATTCATTCATTCGTGCTTATTTTCATTCACCCATTTATGATTACAAAGCTATACTTGTGTTCATCCATTCATCACATGCTCACGTGGTTAACCTTGCCTTTCAATAATCATGTTACTAATATTACATTATGATGAATGTAGAGTATTTATCACCAACTTCACAGTACTAATTTAAGACTAACACACACTGATACAACTACAAGTTATATCTACAAATGATATACATGAACAATAAATAGATAAAATATCCAAATTACCTTAGAATATGATCCAAAGATATGATCCAAAGGTATGTCCAGAAAATGAACAAGACATGTTGACACACTGAAGATTGAATGTGGAGTGACCACAAACCTTGTAATGTGTAAAAGTGTAAAGCTTAGCTGGTTGCCCAAGCTGGCTATAAAGACAAAAGAACGTAGGTGGGGAAGGGTTTATGTTATTGTGCTGTGTGGTGAACATGCGGTAAGCATGCTCAGTGAACTGGCTGTGTTAGTTAAGGCAGGCTAAGTATCATGATAAAATAAAACGACTAAAGCTGTGCAATGAAATTTAAAGCATTTATTTACATGAATTCTAATCAATTTACAACATGTTAAAATATACAAAATCTGTTACTGCCACACACATATGATATATATGACACGGACTGTTTGTTTCACCAATTGGATAATAACTTATCTTATCTTACTGTTATAAGGCCGTATTGTTGTATTACGTCACTTGCAACAGTTCAATATACCTACTCAATAACGTTTGTCAGGTGTGTGTTGACTCCATCACATCACTCGCTTTGTAGTGACATAAAAATATATATAGAAACCTGCATACATTTGTTATATAGGTATGCATTCGTAATGTCTCGCATATCCATCGAAAGCTAAAACTGTTATATAGACCGAGTCTTTTTCTTGGACTTCGTCTTCGGACTTCGTCAGTAATAACATGGATAATAATTACTGGTTAGTTAATTACTGACTGCATAGGCATGATGGTCTGAGCCACAGCTTGCAAGGTTGGTGTAACCGGTCACTTACACGTGCACTTGACCCACGTTGTCAAGGTAATACTTGGACCAGGTTGTTGTCTTGTTGCCATGGAGAGTTCATAACAATTGTAATAGCAATACATGCATGACGTGATGTGTGTCATTTCCAGATTTAGTTTAATTTGATTTGGTCCAGTAATCAGTTCTAGGGCTGTAACGATGCATCGAACTATCGATGGATTGCAATTGCTGAGTCTCCGATAGCAATTAATCGATGGATGAAACGACAAACTATCGATAGTATGTGTGCCTATCGATAGTTTAGCATTTCCGGTGATAAATACGCAGCGCTAAATACAGGAAGTATTTTTGTATTTTTTGGGAGCAGACTAACTGTTTACTTGATCTGTGTTCAAGTTTCTAGTCAGTTATCCATAGAGACTGAAACAACTTCAACTTGTGTTTATTTTGTATAAACTATACATTAATTTGGGAAATGACTTCAAATGAGACAATTCAAGGAGAAAAATACTATCGCAATGAGGGCCGTAGGTAGACCGAGGGGAGGTGGAGCAGGGGGCAGCTGCCCCCTAGAATCTTTTAACAGGTCACATTTTATGCATCAAAGTATTGATATAACGCTCTTGTAACGTTGATAGTGCCCCCTCTGTTACGAAATGTTAACTATGGCCCTGGCAATAGTATTTTGCAATAGAGTACCGCTATTCGTTTCCCCCCTCAATAGTCACCCCTAATCAGGTCTGTACGTAAAAGGTATTATAGTCAAACCAACAAACAACAATGAAATATTATAAATCAACAATTGTAATATGAATAACGGAATCTGGATATAGCATTTTATGCACATGTCACATGTCTACATGTCTGTAATGTATATAAAGCAAGTCAAATAGACACATACAACCATTATCTATATAAATAGCTTGTGGCAAGACGACCAAAATGAGACAAAAGCGTCATATTTGCAGGGAGAGTAAGCATTTAATGTACGTAATTATTAGTAATTGTATTTCAATATTGGTTTCAGACTAGCTAGAGAAGGTAAAATGTTTGCTACTTTACAAGAATATATGTATTCTTTCGTAAAAATAGAAATGAAATTCAGTACATCATTTTATCTCTCTTTGAATCCAAGAGTAACTGTGTCTGAGTTTAATTTCAAATGGGTGTCTGTTTCATTCCCATTCCATTCTAGTAGATCTTGACCACAGCCTTTTGACAAACTTGCATTCATTTAGTAGATGAATTATCGAATCTATTTCAACATCATAAAATGTACAAAGTGGTGATTCTATTATTTTGTATTTGTGTAAATTTATATTTGTTGTGAAACTTCCATGAAAAATACTATATTGAAGCCTTCTGTGCTTAGCACTTTAAGTATGAATAATCAATATATGAAGCAGATGCAGTCTATACGTTAAGCCGCTATTTATACAAGCTTAGCCGTTACGTGCAAGGTCCACGTCCTAAATACTTGCAAACTGTACATCCCAAACAGTGTTTATCATCAAGATACAATATCTATACCCTGACCTAAACTTCATCCCGCCACAATGACTGTCATTGTAAACACACGATGTGACATGTCGTGGTCTGCTGTAGGTTTCTAAGTACGCCAACAAAGTGTGTCCATGTCGGAAAGTAGTCGTGACGTTGCATTTTGAGCCACGTGTCGGTCCTAGTGGTAGATACAACGTGGGTTTACTAAGTGCAAAGATTAATGAAAGTTAGAGTATTTTGGTATTTGGGATTTTAGCGTAACCATGATGAGCACTAACGTTTTTATCATCACATTCGATAACATAAAATTCTTTGAGAGACATTTTGAAGTGGGAGTACAAAAGAAGGTTTATATATATGGACGAGCAACGTCTAAATTAAAATTAGAGCGACATTTCAGGGGAGGTTCTAACACCGTTATCAGGTGATGTACAGATTATGGACTGAGAGGCATACATATACAAATATGAGTATATACGGTGTTTTCAGTGTATTGGACTTTAATTGATTGGGTGGAGAAGCCAGTTAACTGCACAATAGGGTAATATCAGGGTAAAAACATTAAGAATTGAAGCATGTCGTATAAACAATAAGATTGTGAGTCAAGGGAATCGTGTTGATGGTCCGCGGGGGTATGTAATAGTCACCTTGACTTAGGTTGTCATAAAAAGGAACACATTTTCTGGATCGACAACTTCTATTAACACATTGTCGATACATAAAATGTGTTCCTGTACATCCTTCCAGCTCCTAAATGCCACTTAAAGAAGGTAGTCATGGCTGGACATCCCGGGATCTGACACACCATGTCATGGCTGGACATCCGGGGATCTGACACACCATGTCATGGCTGGACATCCGGGGATCTGACACACCATGTCATGGCTGGACATCCGGGGATCTGACACACCATGTCATGGCTGGACATCCGGGGATCTGACACACCATGTCATGGCTGGACATCCGGGGATCTGACACACCATGTCATGGCTGGACATCCCGGTATCTGACACACCATGTCATGGCTGGACATCCGGGGATCTGACACACCATGTCATGGCTGGACATACCGGGATCTGACACACCATGTCATGGCTGGACATCCGGGATCTGACACACCATGTCATGGCTGGACATCCGGGGATCTGACACACCATGTCATGGCTTGACATCCGGGGATCTGACACACCATGTCATGGCTGGACATCCGGGGATCTGACACACCATGTCATGGCTGGACATCCGGGGATCTGACACACCATGTCATGGCTGGACATCCGGGGATCTGACACACCATGTCATGGCTGGACATCCGGGGATCCTGACACACCATGTCATGGCTGGACATCCGGGATCTGACACACCATGTCATGGCTGGACATCCCGGTATCTGACACACCATGTCATGGCTGGACATCCGGGGATCTGACACACCATGTCATGGCTGGACATCCGGGGATCTGACACACCATGTCATGGCTGGACATCCGGGGATCTGACACACCATGTCATGGCTGGACATCCGGGGATCTGATTACACCATGTCATGGCTGGACATCCGGGGATCTGACACACCATGTCATGGCTGGACATCCGGGGATCTGACACACCATGTCATGGCTGGACATCCGGGGATCTGACACACCATGTCATGGCTTGACATACCGGGATCTGACACACCATGTCATGGCTGGACATACCGGGATCTGACACACCATGTCATGGCTGGACATCCGGGGATCTGACACACCATGTCATGGCTGGACATACCGGGATCTGACACACCATGTCATGGCTGGACATCTGGGGATCTGACACACAATGTCATGGCTGGACATCCGGGGATCTGACACACCATGTCATGGCTGGACATCCGGGGATCTGACACACCATGTCATGGCTGGACATCCGGTATCTGACACACCATGTCATGGCTGGACATCCGGGGATCTGACACACCATGTCATGGCTGGACATCCGGGGATCTGACACACCATGTCATGGCTGGACATCCGGGTATCTGACACACCATGTCATGGCTGGACATCCGGGGATCTGACACACCATGTCATGGCTGGTCATACCGGGATCTGACACACCATGTCATGGCTGGACATCCGGGGATCTGACACACCATGTCATGGCTGGACATCTGGGGATCTGACACACCATGTCATGACTGGACATCCGGGGATCTGACACACCATGTCATGGCTGGACATCCGGGGATCTGACACACCATGTCATGGCTGGACATACCGGGATCTGACACACCATGTCATTGCTGGACATACCGTGATCTGACACACCATGTCATGGCTCGCCATGTCATACATATGGAATTGGAAAGGGGCGTTATAGACAAATGATATTTCCATGTCATGTAAACTGACACTGACAAATTCATAAAGACATTCACAATAAAAGTATCAACTGAAGTGAAATAACAAGTAATTTCAGTTCTCTACTGTATCAATGAGGAATCTGTTTAGAACAAGGATAACCTTCACAAAAGTGGGAAGTTTATTCCTGTTCTAATATATACAAATGGTAGAGATAAGCTTCATATACAAGTGTAAAACAAACCATCTGAAATGATTTACAAGTAATCTGGTGTCATCAAGAGTATATCAATATAGAATATATGGACACATTAAGATGGGAGACCTAGTGTTACCTGGTGGTGACACATTATGATGGCAGACCTAGTGTTACCTGGTGGTGACACATTATGATGGCAGACCTAGTGTTACCTGGTGGTGACACATTATGATGGCTGACCTAGTGCTACCTGGTGGTGACACATTATGATGGCAGTCCTAGTGTTACCTGGTGGTGACACATTATGATGGCAGACCTGGTGTTACCTGGTGGTGACACATTATGATGGCAGACCTAGTGTTACCTGGTGGTGACACATTATGATGGCAGACCTAGTGTTACCTGGTGGTGACACATTATGATTATGATGGTGGTGACAGACCTAGTGTTACCTGGTGGTGACACATTATGGTGTTAGCAGTCCTGGTGTTACCTGGTGGTGACACATTATGATGGCAGACCTAGTGTTACCTGGTGGTGACACATTATGTTGTCAGTCCTGGTGTTAGATGTGCAAACGATACATCCATTTTGGACTTGTGGAATAGTTGTGTGCTGGCTGGATGGGACCCCAAGAGTTACCTACTATAGCCTTGACTGAGGGATACGACTTCCTGTAGGTGTGTGTTGGTAGCAGCCTTCTTCATCTTACCACCATTGAGACTGATTAGGATAATATCCCCACTCACCCAGATTGACTCAATTTTCTTTTCCTTGACAAGTTCCCTGGCCCCTGGTTTGAGTAAGGTCTTCATAAATGAAGGTTCTTTGGGAGTTAGACTGTATACTCTTCAAGTTGACCTGTTAGCTAACAGTCCCAAACAACACAAGCATTGCTAACAACTATAACAAGAATAGCCCGAGGGTGTGCCTGAGGTGTTGGGGGAAATCTTGGGACACGGTATAGTGTCCAATACTCTCTCTGCAGTATTGACAGGGACTGGATCATCCGTAATCCTGATGTTGTTTCCGGCAAAAGTATTGTTCCGTGCCAGGCGTATTAGGGGCCATCTTGGAGCACGGTTTAATGTTCACACTTGGCATTATTCAACACAATCTCAGCAGTATTCACAGCCTCTGAAACACCTATAATCCCAGTATTGTTGCGACTGAGTACTGTTCCGTAATGTCGACTTAGTTTTATGGAGCAACGGAATGACAAACTTTCTCGTCTACCTTGGATTTCAAATCTGCTACTTTCTTTTCATGCTGCTTGTTGGGGATATGAGTAGCACACGAACTGTGACTTTGTATATATTGAAAACCCTTCTGAGAATATTTGGATTTCACCAGCCTAGTAATTGGTTTATTCAATAAAGGGGCCACATGCCCATTAAACAGGTACATGAGTCATATCATGAAAGTGGAAAATCTGGAGCGCCATAGCACTGTACAAGATACATCACTAAACATACACTTAATGGGTTGTACTAGTTTTGTTAAGGTAATTGTTACGTTGTTTGAATGCAAGGAACAAAAACTTCGCTAAACGATTTAAAATACCTGAATCGTGTGATGTGCAAAGTAATACCAGTTTATCATAAGAAGGATGAGTACAATAGAACTCAGGCAAAATTGTATGTCTGAGATTATAGTAAAAAGGACATTCCAAACATATGTGATATTCTGTCTCAATTACAGGTATAACACAAAATGGACATAATCTAGAATTTCTTGTCAGACCAGATTTTCTTCCAGACTCTATCATTAACTGATGGCCTGAACAGCGAAATATACTAAGAGCCTTACGATAAGCTGGTACATCCAGACAAGTTAAATACACCTCTCTCTCAAAAGAAAGTTTAATGTCACAATATAAATTCAGTTTAGGATAAGATTGAATACGTGTAAACCAAGTTTGTGTATCTATATCAATACATCTATTTCTAAAGGTTCTTATAAAAGATGAAAGGTCTAAGTTTAGTTGGTTTTTCCATACATATCCAAAACCATACTTGTCTAATAGCTGTTTTACTTGTAACGCCCAAAAAGGTATTTCAATTTCTGCTAGTCTATTTTGATAAAGATAAGCATTTGAAAAGATTATATTGTCATTCTGTTGAGTCAACCGTACCCAAAAACTGATAATTCTTACAAATTGATTTACTTTCACTGAATAACGACCTAATTCACCACGAGCTAAAATATTTGGAACTCTTCTTGGAAGATGCAATATTTCCTTTAAGAATTGATCATGTACATTTAGAATATCTTGAGAAGGATGGAAACCCCAAATCAGTGATATTTTACGTTGGCAATCAATTTTCCTTTCTTTACTTTATAAACGCTTACTAGCCCACCAAATTGATGAAAACGTTAACGCGACGTGATTTGGACGTCTCCCTATTTTGACACTAAAATACAGTGTAATATATCTTTTCCCTAATCTGTAATATCTCTTCCTTCAGAGTGGACTTAATGCCTATTGTCTTACCCATGACAGATACTGACTCCTTATTACTAAAGGCCCAAGTAGCTGGTGTATGAAATAACCAATAGCATCAGCTGATCTGATATAAATCAGACATAAATCAAATCAGTAAACAGTTGGACAGTTTCATATCACGTCGGCTAGAAACCCGTATACAGGGTGGGTCAAGAAAACCCAAATATTGACAATGTTCCTCAGGGTGTATGTTTCTTGAAGTTGTATATGCCGTGTAACAAACGTTTTTAGAACTGAAACGCTTAAAATACATTCTTTTGCAACCTGTTTGATGTATTTGAAAGGCATTTAGAAGTTGGACGAACATGAATACATGACACTTTAATGGATAACAACTTCTTTACACGACTTTTCACCTGATGAAGGAGCAAGAATTATCTCTGAAACGTCGTGTAGAGAATGAAAAGAAGTTGTTATCCATAAAAGTGTCATGTATTCAAACTGTTTGAGCTTTCGAAGTTTTCGTTCATAGAATAGGTGGGCTATTTGAGGGAAATAATCTATGAAAGGTTTCAGCAGTTTTTCTATCAGCTGTTTTTCGGTTATGGTGTCCATACCATTCAGGGTAATCTTCAGCTACTGACCTATTTGTGTTAGACATACGTATGTCCGATAGATTTGCCCATGTTTGAGAAGTGAATGATTCTAACTGTATTCCACTTCTAATAAGAAGTAACAACCCTTCACGGTTTCTGTCGTGCTCGTCTGGTGTAATGAAGTATGGTCTCGGTCCATTCTCGTTCCAAAATATCTTGTATATACACACAAAATGAATGTGTAACGTGACGTTGCATCCAGGGTAAAACACCTTTAGTCTGCCCAGAAACTCGCAAATGGGTTTAGCGCAGTTTCCACATGGGCTGTAATTCTGAAATATTTCAATTTTGGTAGTTCCTGATTTACTTAATTTATCTCCTAATGTTCCACTATTAAGGTCTTGATTTAACTTTTGCATCAGTTTGTCTTCTGCATGTCGACAACTTCCCCTCCTTCTCCTGCTTGACTGGAATACTTCTCCCTGTTCACTTCCTACCACACACACAGCTACACCCCTTCTTGGACGCTGAAACAGAGGGCACCCAGTCGCCCAAAATATCCGTAGAATTCTGTCATCAGGTAGTCCTTTCATTTCTCCACTTGACTCGACCTATAATGTAACTAACATGTGTAACGTTTAGTTTCTGTGCGAAAGGCTACACAAATATAGTGAGTGAGTGAGTTGGTGAGTGAGTGAGTGAGTGAGTGAGTGAGTCAAGTCAGTCAGTCAGTCAGTCAAATTGCATATAGTCATGACATCTATGCAAAGTGACTGAATATGGCATCTATCAACTGAGAGATAAGTATATACATCAGGATGGGTTCACTTCTAGTTTGGCACCTGGTTGTATGGTCCTGGAATGTCCTGGGAGATAAATCTCCATTCCGTTATGTGAAATACTCTGGACTTATTCACAATAATATCCTCGTTTGGAGTTGGAGTAGAACGTTATAACGTCATGAAACAGCCGCTAATGGCGCTCAGAAAAACACACACATGGACAAACCACTCAAATAGACATGAGCGAGAAATATGCAGTGACGTGTTACAGGATAGACAGATGGCGATGTCCCTTCTACAGTGACGGTATGGTGGCGAATCAGACCAGGTTGTTTATTGATTTAAACTAAGGTATCACACACCGGTAAGTGCTCATATACTGGTAATGAGGATGTCTAGTCTGTCTCTCCAAATAAGTACCTACGCAAGTTCAATTTACTATTTTCCGTGTCTTTTTACCAATTTTAACCAAAATATATTATGTAACCGGAATGCTAATGGCTGCTGCAACCTTTGTGGTGTGACAGTATCAGCCCCGTTCCACTGACACTGACTATCTGATGACTGTCATGCTATTACCACCTATTGGTAGAGGCCGCTGCGGTTGGAATGTCAACGAAGGTTCACACAAATACCATATTCTGAAATTATAATAGATATCATACTAACTTGATGCTTACAGGAATCAGCCGGTGTACAAGAAGTTGACGTCTACACTGTCACTACCCTACCTTTGCCTACCCCTCTATAGCATATCGGTCCTGATCTAACCTTACATCCTGTCAGGGGAGATACACGTATACCTTGTCACTACCCACTGCTGCCTTCATAGCAATCCTGATCTAACCTTACATGTCATGGGAGATACACGTATACCTTGTCACTACCCACTGCTGCCTTCATATCAGTCCTGATCTAACCTTACATGTCAGGGGAGATACACGTACGTACTGCTGCTTCACTAGCTGCTTGTCACTACCCACTGCTGCCTTCATACTGCTGCCTTCATAGCAGTCCTGATCTAACCTTACATGTCATGGGAGATACACGTATACCTTGTCACTACCCACTGCTGCCTTCATATCTGTCCTGATCTAACCTTACATGTCATGGAGATACACGTATACCTTGTCACTACCCACTGCTGCCTTCATAGCAATCCTGATCTAACCTTACATGTCATGGGAGATACACGTATACCTTGTCACTACCCACTGCTGCCTTCATAGCAGTCCTGATCTAACCTTACATGTCAGGGGAGATACACGTATACCTTGTCACTACCCACTGCTGCCTTCATAGCAGTCCTGATCTAACCTTACATGTCATGGGAGATACACGTATACCTTGTCACTACCCACTGCTGCCTTCATAGCAATCCTGATCTAACCTTACATGTCAGGGGAGATACACGTATACCTTGTCACTACCCACTGCTGCCTTCATAGCAATCCTGATCTAACCTTACATGTCAGGGGAGATACACGTATACCTTGTCACTACCCACTGCTGCCTTCATATCGCAGTCCTGATCTAACCTTACATGTCATGGGAGATACACGTATACCTTGTCACTACCCACTGCTGCCTTCATATCGGTCCTGATCTAACCTTACATGTCATCTAACCTTACATGGAGATACACGTATACCTTGTCACTACCCACTGCTGCCTTCATATCGGTCCTGATCTAACCTTACATGTCAGGGGAGATACACGTATACCTTGTCACTAC